CACATGCTGAGATCCTTCATCCAAGGGGCCTGAATAATTGCCGATACTATTTTGGGGGTTCCTTATTATAAGTTCAGTATAAGGGGCCCCAAAACCCTATGCTAATCATTAAGGCCCCTATTTTAAACCCCTAAAGCCCTAAAGCCCTAAGACCCCTAAAGCCCTAAACCCCCAAACCCCTAAACCCCTAAATCCCTAAAGCCCTAAAGCGCTAAGACTCCCTGAGCCTAACACCCCGTGGAGTGTGAATCACCGAAGCCCCGAAGTTTTCCTACACCCTGAGTTTGGGGAGTTGGGGTTAAGTAAAGGTTCGGGGTTTAGGGTTTAGGGTTCAGGGTTTGGTTTAGCGCTTAGACTTTAGGGTTTGGGGTTTAGGGTTTAGAATTTAGGGTTTAGGGTTCAGGGTTTGGGGTTTGGGGTTTAGGGTTTAGAATGTAGGGTTTGGGGTTGAGGGGTTGAGGTTTAGAGTTTAGGGCTCTAGGGGCTCTTTATGGAAAAGGCAAACTGCTCTTTGCTTTCTAGGAGACCTCAATCCCGCTCTGAAACACCCGAACACAAAGTCCGAGCTCGCCCCACTCCATCAGACTCCGCCTAAACACCCTCCATCCTGAGCGATGAGTGCGTTTTGCTATGAGACCTTGAGACACCAACGCAGATGACAGATCATGGTACGTTTATCCTTGAAACTAAGAGCATTCAGAGCACTCTGCCTCCATCCTAGAGCTTGCACCCTAATTACACCCTAAATCCTGAATTCTCAGCCCTGAACCCTAAACCCCTAAACCCTGAACCTTGCATCACATCTATCCTGCTGGCCAGGTATGGGCCTCATCTTCTTTTGCAGACACAGCTTGGCTGCATATGTGGTATGCCCCCTCCCCCTCCCCACGAACAAACGAACACAAACATGCACTGCCAATGCGACTGCTACTGCTACTGCGACTGCTACTGCTGCTGCTACTGCCACTGCCACTGCCGCTCGGCATCGAGGCCCTGGCAGCTACCTGACAGGAATGCCAAGTTACATGCCCAGATCCTTGCAGGCCTGTGACTCTGGCATGCCTCAGCCTAAGTGTCGGCACATCCCAACAGGTGTGCGGGCCCCACCGCAGACTCCGAGCTCCATCCCGGCCAGCATCCGGGTTAGCTCCTGCTGGTCTGGCTCGGCCCTTGATAGCTGTGCTTTCTCAGGTCTGTCTACTCCACTGGCAGCAGGCTTGAAACCACCCTCTGCATTGCTCGAGCCAGCAAGCCGAGATCACCAGGGCTGGCCGGACAGCTACCAAGACCCCTCGGCATGCGCTGTGTGCCAAAGGTCGGGGCCTTATGAGGCACCCTCCTCAACCTGGATTGGTCTGAGTCCACTAACAGGCTTGACAGACCACCACCGGCACTGTCATGGATACGGATCTGTCCAGGCACAGACCCACCCACATGCAGAGGCACAGCCAATGACTTGCGATTGCTTGCCAGGTACCGAGTTGAACCCGCAGCTCGTCCCTGGCCAGCAACAGGCCCACGAGAGAGAAGGTCACAGCTACCTACAAGCTGTCGCCGGGGCAGGGCTGCCGTCGCTACTGGCGGGAGGCCTCGCTACATCAAAGACATTCTTCCTGCCACACAAGCTGCCAAGCCGCGTGTGCAGGAAGATGATTCTGAGAGCCCTTTCTTCTATTTGGCTAATCCGCGGTGTGGGGCCTGTCGCCAGCACTATAGCCGTTTTAGTCGTGGCAACAAAATGCCTCAATCTAGGCACCCACCCATCTCTGAAGGTGCCCTTGATCTCGAGGCTATGGACTGAGGCCCAGAACCCATGCACGGATATTGCGGCTGCCGGGCACGGACCAAGGCTCGGAATTCAGCCTGAAGCTATTGCTCCTTCATGGATAGTCTGTTCCTGCTACACCAGCCGAGCACAGCCATCCTCTAGATTACCCGCGGAGACAATGTCAACAACACATCATCGACAATCTCAGCAGAGCCTCTCCGGTCCCAAAGCCGGAGGTCGACCCAAGCAATTATTGCCGAGCAACCAATTCAGAAGTCACGAGACCGGCGATCAATCTGTGACAAAAAGGTCGATTGGGGTGAGGGTTGGGAGTGACTGCCGACCACTCTTGGAACCAAAGATCCCACATGTTGGGTTCGGAGGGAAGCCGTGGCATGAGCAATATCACCACCTCATCCGCACAGGGACGGCCCATGATGGCTCCCTGCCCCAAACACTCACACAGCATTCGAATAGTACCCCTAGCTTCCATGGCGTAGTCGCGTTCTGTCCCTGCACACAACCTGAAAGACATCAAGAGAAGCCGCGACACCCTACTGTGTGTCTGGACCCAAGCCACGCTATGTTGTACGCTACCAGCGCCATGTTCCGCTTGGCCTGCTTACGGTATTGGCTCCAGCGCTCTATCATCTTACCCGATCCATATCGGCAGGCCAGGTAACAGCAACGAGTGGCTGCGCAGCTAATGCCTTTGTGAGACCTGCCTGTTCCTTCCCGACAGGCTCCGACTTCAGCTCTGCTGTTCCAGGCCCTGTCTACCGAATACCCTTCCGCAGCACCCTGAGAGTGCTGATAACTGCCGGTCTGGCTGGGACAGCCTCGGGCCACCCCACAAGTGGACAGGTGACGCCGACTCCACCGGGCGGGCTGCCATTTGCGTGGCAGTCTCAGAGCCAATGGCGGAACCCATGCCTATGTACAGCTTTGCCAGGAAAAGGTCCTACAAGAGAGCTGTCCGGCGGGCGGCACAGCAGGCTGACCAACACACCATCTATCGTGGCCGCGTCTGCACGCTCAGGCAACTCTGCCAAGGCTACCAGGGCCAACAAGCCCAGCCAACACCAATTCGACACCTGCGGCAGGCTGCCCTTCAACGCAGCACGGCCGAATTCTAGCCATGACCTGGAATGCGGGTGGACTATCCTCGCACCTGTGGCAGGAACTCCTGTTGACGGTGGAGAAGCTCCCTCCCATGGAACGTCCTCAACTCATCTGCATTCAGGAAACGCACTGGGGTAGCACTGTGGCCCCCACCTTTGTCGCAGCACATTGGACGGTATACACATCGGCCACCACGGATAATAAGTCGGCTGGCCTGGCCATGCTGGTGCATAAGGACCTGCTCCACCACACGCAGGTGGTGTATGCAGATCCACGACCAAGCCGGGTCCAGCATGTCCGAATTATGCACCCGCAGTGGACGGCTGATATTCTACATGTGTACCAAAAGCCCTATAACAGCCATCCCAAGGCTGCCAAGGACTCCAAGGAAATCCGGGCAGACGTGTGGCGCACTCTGCAGGAGCAGCTATACATAGGGTCCCGAAGAGAAGTACGCTTCTCTTGCTGGGAGACTTCAACTGTCCCATCCCTCCAAGCCCCCATGCAGGAGTGAGAGTCGGCGTGGGATCCGGCACACCTCCGCCGGATCAGGCCAAACTCCAGCAGGCTCTGGAGATAAACAACCTAGTCCACTTGAATTCCTGGAGCCGAGCTTCAGGCGCTATGTGCACTCCAAAGGTTCTAGCCTCATCGACCACATCTTCATGCGCACGGATCAGGCGGACAACCGAGCCAAGCAGGCACGGCCCAAGCCACTTGGACTAGCTGAATGGAGGCTGGGGGGTAAACATCCACCTGTTCTTGCCAGCCTGCCGCTTACTAGGTTCACACAATTGAACAAAGCGCAGGTCATCAGGCGTCCTTGGGACCACTGGGCTGTAGTGCAGCTCTGCAAAAACCCAGCTGATCCGCGCTGGGAGAGGGCTCCGCCAGATGGTGCGAACGGGGCTTCATACGGCCGATAACCTGGAGCCTCTACATAGGCTCCTCGACCTGTTTCCCGCCCCTGCCAGACCGCAACGCCTTGCACCCTGGCAGACGCCTGCCATGCAGGGAGGCATTAAAGGAATGTGGCTCAATATCGCCGGTGGAAGTACCTTGCCAGGACCCGACCAAGCGACCCGCTGAGCATTGGACGAGCGTTCCAGGCTTACAAGGAAGCACATCGTGACTTCCGAAAGGCAGGCAAGGCTTACAAGCAACAGTGGTTCCAGGACCGCATCGGGGACCTACAGCTGGCAGCGAGGACCCGAGACACCAGAGCGCTCTTCGCGGGCGTCAGATCCCTAGCGCCCAAGCAGCACAAGGTCAAAGTCCAGCTTCGAGATGCCCAGGGACAGCTGCAGGACCCTGCTGCACAGATCAGACAGCTGGATCAGCATTATCGGAAACTCTACGCTGCTGACTCGGAAACTACTATTGCGGGGCCCAGCAGAAGCACCATCAAACCGGACATTGACTCAGATGACCTTGCTGCCACCCTTGCCAAGCTTTCCCCGCATAAGGCCACACCACCGGAACAGGCATCCAATGCGCTGTGGAGAATCACCTCGGATGTCGGGCCAAAGAATGGACCAGCATCCCGCAACTTTGGAGGAACGCGTGGCTCGTCTTGGTACCCAAAATACCGCGGCCCCTGTCACCGAAGAACCTCAGGCCGATAGGCTTGACTGAATCCAGCGGAAGGGCGTATGCCCGTATGCTGCAGGTCAGGCTGAAGCCCTACGCGGTACATTATCTCCAAGACGTCTCGCAGTACGCTTATCTTCCACACAGAGATGCTGCCGTGGCCATCCAGAGAGTTGCAGCACACTGTAGGTACGTAGAGCAAAAGTGCTCACATGCCACACGCACGGTGGCTGACCGTCAAGAATGCCTCCCGGCAGCGGCCACCAGCTTTGCGGGGATGCAATGATGCAACTCTCGCTGGACTTGTCCAGCACCTTCGATCTTGTCAGCTGGGGGCTGCTTGACAAAGCAATGACTGAGGCGGGAGTACCGACCGAGCTCTACAACGAGATTTTGTCCTGGTACTATCACATCTGCTACACGGTTGAGCGCCTTGGTGAGATTGTTGCGCAGCAGGGATTGCGGCAAGGATGTCAATTAGCTCCCACTCTGTGGGCTATGGCGGTAGGATACATCTGCAAGCACATCCAGGATGGCCAGACCCCCGGCACAATGCAACGCTGGCTGCAGACCAACTCCACAACGTATGCAGACGACATACACCATCGGGATACGGCCACTACCACCCTTGGCCTGATCGCTTCGGCCTGGCGCTCGATGCTCTGGCGGGGCATGGTATGATCATTAATGCCGGCAAATCGGCTGTTTTGCTCAGGCACCGAGGCTCCTTTATCAAGAAATGGCGAAGGCGCCACTGCCTCCACACGTCTGATGGAGACCATCTGCTCTTCCGCACCCCGGGAGGAACCGCATACCGCATCCCGCTTCGGGAACAGCACACCTACCTTGGTGTCAGGATCTCGTACCATGCCATGGCCAGCCACACCACCCTGCATCGCCTCCAGGCTGCCAACTCTTCCTGGCAACGTCTCAGGCGCATCCTATGCTCGAGCCGACAGTTAGCCCTCCCTGCCCCATTATCGCTCTGGAAGGCTACTGTCTACCCGACCCTGATGTACGGCCTGGCGGCAGTGCACCTGAGTCCCAAGGACATCGGACGAGTGCAGGCACTCCTCATCAAACATGCCAGAGCCATGGCTCACTCATGTGCCCATCTACAGCAGGAATCCACACAAAAGGTCCATCAAAGACTCCAGGTGCCCACAGCTCTAGAGAGTCTTCTCAAGGACACCACCGCACTGCATCACAGGCTGCTACTTCTTGATCAAAGCTCCGACATTGTCGGGGCCCCAGACATCGAGGAGGTTCGAGCACAGGCTGCCGCTCTCCAGGCCTCTACAGAGGCCCAATGGACTGTTCCGGAGGAGCCAGAGGCGGGACTGCTGCCGCACACGTGCATAGAATGTGGACAGAGCTTCGCCGCCTTCGCCTCCTTCCGCCTGCTCCGCTCCCACGAGGCGAAACAGCACGGGAAACGCACGCCCAAGTGCGATGACAAGCCCTTTGACAGGTTTGAGCATGGCGCAGGCGGACTGCCCACATGCAGACACTGCGGGTATCGCTTCCGACAGTGGGATAATCTGATTAAACATATCAAGAGGAATCGCTGCCGGGTTCTGCGGGGACAACAGGCCGTCGCCTCAAAGGCGACCGATCCCCCTGGCGCGGCACCTGCTCCATCTACTTTCACAACGGGAGAGCGAGGACCAGGACATACCGCGTTGGGCTCCTCGTGCGTCACTGCACACATCTGCCAATGAGGAGGCGACTCAGGATGAGCTCGGCTTGCGTCACATTGCCGAATCGGCCGAGGAGGCGCCCCCCTCGGTCTCGACGGATGCACCATAATATTGTGTGCTTGGCCTGAGGTACAAGAGGCCTTGAGCCAGGGCTCCTGGTTCACCTTGCCCCTCAATGAGAAAGTCCAGGCCTACCTAGCCCACCACTGCCCGATCTGCATGCAATGGGCTGCTACACCTGCAGGTCGTAAGTGTCATATGACAGCTGTACATCCACAATGGCAGGCTCTCCAGTCGGAAGTCCGGAAGCTACTCATGGGCTTTAGGCGTCGTACTGATGCCTTGCAGGTATTGCAGACTCTCACAAATCAATAAAGATCGACACTGGTTCCAATGTCATGTTCTTAGCTTGTGCGCTTTCCTAGCAGTGCGGCACGAACATGGCGCGGGCGGAGATGGATCTAGACGATCAGGAGAAGCTCTTCTTTGGCCAAATGGGCCCGCTCAAGAGGGATCAAGCTCCGACCACCTGGAGCGCGGTCTCACAGGGATCGGGTCCAGGAAAGAGGCAGCGACTGGAACATCAGGACTCCACCAAGGGACGGGGCAAGGGCAAGACCAAGGGAGGCAAGTCCAATGCAAGCCTTCCCCAAGGAATGTACCCGGCGGCTCGAATGTGGGCATACTCCAGTGGTTTCGACGAGGCTCTGGAACAACCATGGGCACCGACACCAGATCAGCGATCGACATGGTTGGAAGGCCGGGTGGAAAAACTCACTCAGCTTGCCCTGAGGCAGGAGTAGGTCGTCGCCTCGTTGAGGCAGGACATGACCATGTACCTGTTTATGAAGACAGGAGACGAAGGCATGATCCCGGTCCTATGTCAGGCAGCGGACAAGTGGAGAACCATCAGGGAGGAGACAGCTCCTCATCTCCCTCCAGGAACGGCTGACAGAGACGGCAAAGACGCCTACGGCAATGGAGCATGCTCAGGTCCTGAGATGGAATCCTGCCCAAGAAGCCCTGGAGGTCGAGCCCAATCTTCGAGCGGTCCCTACCGCGGACCTGCTCGCTCAGATAGTGCAGGTCAGAAAGGCGACTACCGAGGAGACGCTCCTTCGCTTCAAGAGCATCCGACCTCTCTCCACCGAGGTTACCACGGATTGGGTTCAGTTCCAGATTGCAGTATCCCTGCGAGCGGACGGAGCACCTCTCTGGAGCACGCGCCAGCAATGGATCGGCCAGTCAGCATTGCACACCCTAGGGTGCAGGCACCGGAGGGATCGTCCCAACTACGACAATCTGGTGAGCCAACTGTGGAGCAGAGAGTGAGTGCGCTACCCAGCCTGAAGTCCATTCTGAGACTCTCTCTGCGCAACTCCACCAACCTGTGCTACCTAAACTCCACACTCGTAGCCTACATGTGGACCGTGCTTCAGGCCCGACTGCATGGGCCCCAAAGATCCTCAGCCGACTACTGCATGGCCCTGCCCAAAACCCTGCAACACCGCAGCAGGTGGTATCCCAATTGCCCTGGCGCACTCTGCTCGGAACCTGGAATCAATTGCATAGCCAGCATGACGCAGCAGAACTCGTTACTTACTTGATGCCGAGGATTTCCACCCTAGGCCTTGGGGCAAGTTGGGAGGCCCGACTTGATACGGAGCAAGGACTGCTGACGCAGGATGGTGGAGTGCTTGATTCACCCATTATTATGGCCCTGCCCGCAGGGGATGATCTTAACCTCCAAAAGGTGATAGATCAGTGGCATTCTCAGGCTGCCCCGTATGCACTTACAAGTGCCCCGTCATACCTGTGTATACAACTGCAAAGGTTCACGGGGAACTCAGCTGGCTTGCGACGGGACTACAGGCCCTTGACAGCTCACAGACAGCCAATATGCCTCCCCCTGTTTGATGATCATAGCACTACTCACTGCTCCTGGATTGCCTACCAGGTGGTCGCTGCGCAGCTACACTTTGGTGAGAGCCCAAACTCGGGACCCTACAGAACAGTGCTCTATGGACAAAAGGAGTTCGGAAGTGAGCGATCATGGGTTACGGATGACAACAAAGCTGCGCAACTTGCCACGGATGATTACGCACAGAGCAGCTATTTGCTCTGGCTTCGCCAGGTGAATGCAGTGGAGTGAAGACTAAGATGAGTGTAGATCGACTTGATGGAGCCGGCCTATGGCCCTCCAGATCCCAAGGAGGATCCGGGTAACATGAATAACATGTCTGTCTGCTCGCTAGGCGAACTCGGACGACTCGCTGCGTGGGGAATGAAATGCCACTGCCGCTGTCATTGCCACTGTCACTGCGCCTGCTACTGCTACTGCTAATGCTACTTCTCCTGCTCCTCCTGCTACCCCTACCACCACTACTACTACTACTACTACTACTACTACTACTACTACTTTTGCTTTGCGATTCGCCAATGCTCCGCAGCATCCTAGCGTGAGGCCCGGCGATGCATATTTGCATCGGCTTCTCAGAGGAAGCGCTTAGCCCGAATAAGATCATCACCTTAGGTGATGAATGAATAAATAAATGAACACCGACCCGAACGTCCAAGCATGTTCAATAACTGGAATGTTGGAAATGCTGGTGCCGCCCGAGCCGACAGCTCCATGTGCGACGGCTAGCATAAGACTCTCGGTGCTGCCTGTACAGTGGTCCTGGGGCATTGGTAGCGGAGCCAAACGGACCATTGGTCTACATACACCTCTGAGAGAAAAGATATAAGGCTCATTAACAATCGAAATAACACCTACATCATGTACAGCATCATCTGATCGCTCACTTCTTCAAGAAACTCATAAGATCGAGTGTAGTGCCTGATGTCAGCAGCCGAAAAAGTCATACGTGAGATCAGCTCACTGAGTGCCAGCACCATCGGATCCAGTGGCCCACAGCCTGAGTAAGAAGGTCAGGCAATTGGAAGATTGCGATGCCCCGAATAATACGAAGCCATCCTCATCAGTCTTTTTGCAGAAGAATCCGGTCCCCCACTCGCCTTGTTATGCAGGATTGAAACCATAATTGAATAGCAGGCGCCGCTCATCTGTTGTGAGTTGCGCCGTATGCTGTGAATGAAATGCGATAAGCACGAGTCTGTCGCCCTGCCATGGTATGGTGGCGTGCTCCGTGCATGGATGGAATCGCAGTGGCGTAGTAAGATCATGGAATCGCCCCACATGACCAGCCTGAGAAAGCGCAATGTCGCCTCGGTCATCACGAAGCCACAATTCACCACCAACCCAGGAGCTGCATGGCACAATCATGTTTTCATGGTTCTTGCAGTTTTGATTGTCCTTGTGCGGGCTGGAGAGGACATTCATGGCAAGTGTCACAGCACTGAACTTGAAATCATTATCCAGCGCACCAATGATCCCTGCCAGCAGCGCCGCTGAGTTTGGGCTCTCCTTCAGGCTCTTGGTTAGGCCCTTCATGGGGCCTCTGGACCATGCGCCTGCATGAAATGATCGAGGCGGCGAGGACCCGAAACCTTGTACGGGTTGCTTCCATCTCGGCCCGGCACCCACCGGCAACATAGCGCTCAGCCTCTGAAGCTGGGCCCATAACACATAACCTTTCTCAAGAATCATGCGGGCGATGACTACAAGAGGATCAGGTTCTGGAATGTGATCCAGACAAACCTTCACCATGTACATTCGGCTACTCAAGTAGAGTTCGAGCAGCTCCGTTCCATGACCGTAAAGTGAGGCCGCCCGCATAGGGCGTTCATGAGCGTGAAGCCTGTCCTCAGCTTCGTCCTGATGACCGGCAGTGTCCATCGAGGCATCCATCCCCTGCTGCATCATATGCCGGACAACCGCGCTATCCAATTTGATCCCACCAAAACTGCATGAGAAAGGCATGTTGTAGGCAGCGCAGAGTCACGCATCGCCTGTAGAACAGCCTGTGTCAGCCTGTATCCAGACATCGCCGCAAACGCTGAGAAGCGCCAGGCGCGCATCTAGGCCCCGTGCTGGTCTGAAGACTCCGATGTCAAAGTACACCCGCTTCTCGAAACCTGGGCAAGGGGCCGCGGCAGAGCGCAACAAAGTGCAGTCTCCATTCGACCAACAAAGCACCGCCTCCCTGCAGTAGCGTTTTGCACAGTGCCACTCGGCTGTGATTTCATCATGCTTGCGCAAGCTAGTAGCCCTAGAGCAGCAGGAAGTTGTGCTCCGTGTGGGTCCGGCCTGAAGAAAAGCTGATGAAGATCAAACCAAAACTGGGCCACGCGTGACGCTGTCGGTCCGCTGTCCCGGCCAAGCCACGCCTTCAGGCATTGCTCAGCTGCTGCGCTAACGCGCTGCGCCCCAGGCGCTCCTTTCGGATCTCCAACCCCATGAGCTGCGTAGCCGTAGCCCCTGTGCTGCAGAGCTCCGCGACGTAGTCGTAGAGAAAGCGACCGTCCGTCTCCATGAGGTTGAACTGCAACAGGAAGCATACCGTGCCCTCGGCCATGTTGTCTCCAATGGGCCGGGTGGGATGGAAGCGAACCAGCGCCGTTCCAGACTGGCTCTTCTCGCCGATTTTGGCAATGATCTCCAGGGTTCGGGCCTGCGTGAGCCTGGGCCCACTGGGATCCCCAATCAGCTTCTTAAGCTTTGCATCCCACCTTAGGGAGAGAAATTCTTCTCCTTCCATCCAGCCAAGCTTGTGCAACGTCTGCTTCCGCGTAGGTTGCTGTTCCAAGCTGCCCACTCTGCTCAACATCTCCTTAATCAGGCACGAAAACAATGCACATCTCATAGGGCTCGTGAGTCGCTCAGGGGACTCGGATTTCAGCTTGTTCCAAGCCGTTTTGGCAGCGACCATACCCGGGATGACCGAGGCCGGGATGCCGGATCTGACAAACAGCACGTAGCTGCATGCTGCTCTCCAAATTTTAAATGGCATCCTCGTGCCGAAGCAGCAATCTTTGCATCTGAAGCACCATGTGCTTGAGGCGCTCAAGCTCCTTCGAGGATGGAGTATCATCTTGCCACTTGGAGCCCCAGCCTTCGTCGGCCTTGCGGCGATAGCCACCTCCATTTCCCCTGCTCTTCCACTCTTGGCGATTGCCCTGTCCAGAGCCGGTGCCGCCACCACCATTGGGCTTTCCATCACCCTTTCCATCGCCTCGCTGCCACTTGGCCCGCCTGTCGTCTAGTTCCGAGACGGACGGAACAGTCGATCCATCCACTCCTGAGTCACTCGAACGGTGAGTGAACACACCTTCCTGGAAGGACTGCCACAAATCTTCTTCCAGAGATGGATGGATGGGATCCGCTGACATGTGGGCATCAGCAGCGGGCGGCGCCTCCTCCGAGGCCCCCGGTGGATGGGTCATGTTCTTCAAGGGGCTGGTCCGCGGGCGTAAGGCAGCGCTCGAGCCAGAAGATGTAGCAATTTTCTTTGTGCTCCGGAGTTAAGATGGTCGTGGCTGCACGAATCCAATCATCAGTGTACATCCACTCTGACTCCTTCCTCAGCAGCGAACGGTAGTGGCCCGTGGTCGCTTGAGGCCCCAGGTGAATCGTGACCGACCTGATGCTGTATCTATGCCATTCACAGTCAGAGTAAGTGGTGAACACTGGAAGACATACCTCATCTCCAAAGTCAATCCTCTGCTGATCCTTGTGGCCACCCGGGTACCTGCCAAGCGCAATGAGGACGTGCTGATGCGGTGCTGTGAGCGCATGGACATAGTTCTGGGACTGGTGCCAATGTTGTATGACCGCTTGAATTGACGCAAGGCCCTGGCCGAGACTCATGTATATGAGATACTCCCCCTCATCTGGAATGTTGAATGAGTCGCGGACCACATCTCTAGACTGCCACGCGCTAATGACAAAACCCAGCTGCCTGAGCAAGTGCAGCGTGAACTCCGCCGCGTCCTTTTGCTGATTCGAGAAGACCCAGCCGCGACAAAGGCAGCGGAAGCTGAATTGAGTAGACAAGTTGAGGGCACCTCGTTGTGGCTGTAGAAGTAGACATCGCACCTGGGCCAGCGCTCTATGGTGACTAACTCCCAACGTTAAGTGCGCCAGAGAGAGAACCGAGGCGTTGACATAGCACAGATTATGTGGATTGCCCAGAACGACCTCGCTAATGCATGTCATTGTAGGGGTACAGCAAGATGCGCTGCGCTATCTGGCGCCTGGGGTTGTGCAGCAGGCTCTGTGGATCTCGGCGAGGCTGCCGTGCGCTGTCCGGGTACCGCTCGGAGTGCCTTGAAAATAGACGGAATCGGAGCGGTCTTATAGAGGGGTTGCTTCTCTGACTGCTTTAGGGATGGGCCGCGGGTGGCATTGATGTTCGAGTGAAGGAGCCCATGGCGATGAAGATGACGTAGAAGAACAACCTGATACAGCGCTGGACATTTGGTGGCGTGCTGCGTGCTTCTGTGGTTCCCTGCCTTGGCCGTGCTCCCGCAGAACTGACAAGGGCTTCTGAAAATCGCCTGGAGACTGCCAAGCGTTGAGATGGCGTCTTTGTGAGAGTGTTCCCACTCCGATGCGTGAATCTGTTGCCAATGCGGTTTGATTCGCAGGCCTGATTGAAACTTTTGATTGCAGAGAGCGCAACGGTCTCTGAGTGTGTAGACTTCTGCGTGATGCTCTGGCAGTGCGGAGAGTGTCACCTGCAGTAGAGGCGCATGCTTTTCAAGGAAAGGCGCCTCCGTTCGTAGAGCCTCCGGGGGAACTGGTGGATTGACCTCCTCCTCCTTCTGTACCTCTGCGAGAATCTGGGCAGGCGTGCTGGATGAAGCCACTGCTTGTTTGAGCCGTGGACATCTGCCCTCTGTGATATGCCTTTCCAGACTGATCCAATCATAGTGTCTTCGACGGCAAAGCCTGCAAATTGGTACTCCGAAAAGGGCATGCTGAAGACGATCAAATGTTGTCCTGGCCTGCTGATGTATGTGTGGATGGCGAGCCGTGATGTGAGCATTGAGAGCCTCTTGGCTGACATACGAAACACCACATACTGGACAGGAGATGCTGTCGGCGGCATCATCTACCGCTACCAAGATCTCACTACCTGCATTGAAAGCTGTAGCCGCGGCCTCCTGGTGTTGGGCACTTGGATAGTCCGGTGGGTTAGTAGATGGTAACAAACATTATGAAAGTTAGGCATCCGTTTGTTATACGGATCACAACCGAGTAGTAACACAGTATAAGTTGGTATAATCAGTGTTAGTCATATATAAATCAGCTACATACATGACATCTTTACACAAAGTTTACATATTTGGAATAAAGTATTAGATGTACTAGTTAAATATTAATGGAATTAGCAAGTCTTTGTTAACCAGTTAGCTATCCAACGTGTAAACATGTTAAGTAACTTAACCCATTTATGTAAGTGTTTCCATAACCGCTTATAACGAATTCATACAACGGCCTGGTTGACCATTTTGTAAAACGATACTTCTGTGCTGATTTACAGTGTTCCAAACAAACTGCATGGGATTTTGGAAATTGAAAGCCCAAGCAGGCTCATGCTTCAGCCCTTGCAGGCTCAGCATTGCAGTTTGTTGTTGTGCAAGCTCAAGCTTTCAGCCGTGACAGGCTAAGTTTTCACAGCCACTAAAGGCTCATGTTTCAGCTTGTAAAAGCTTCTTGATGTAGGAAAGCCTGTGCAGGCTCAGCCTTTAGA